GCGACATAGTGGAAGCGTGTGAGCATAGTTGGAGCATATACCCTATGTAATTTAAAAATCAGCTAGGAAAGTTACTTCAAAGTGAAGCATTTTAGTCACTTGAAGGTGTCACCTGGGACGAACTAATATATATTAAATATAGGTCAAAGTCAAAAACAACTTGAAACACGTTAAATTTTATTTTACATTCACAAGTGCAGGTACTTAATAAAGCATGGTAGGTAGATTAGAGATTTCAATTATTTATTAAATTAGACTAGAGATATCATAATCATCAAACGAACTTAAATAAGAAAATTTAGGCAGCCTAGTAGCATTAAGTGAATTAACAGAAGAGTTAGGATGCGGAGGGTCCGCTTAGGGAGGCAACTAGCCTTTTCATGTAATATCTGTTTATTTTGATTATTCCTTTAAAATATCAATTTGGTATATATGTGAAAGGATGAATTAGTTGGAGATGGATTTTCGGTTTCTTTACATTTAGCATCACTATGTGTCATTTCCTCAAAACCCCCCAATAACCGGCCTCTTCAATCCCTTCCTTTTCCCATGGCGTTCAAGTGGTCCGCATAGACTATTCAGCCATTACCCGTCCTTTATCCTCGGCTTTGGATTGACTTGCGCTCCCATTGCCCCACCAAACGCTGCAAAATGAAAATGAAAATGTAAAATATCACATGATTTTCATGTGGCCACACATAAACAGAATCCACCCAGAAGTACACATGATATTTATGAGTCAAATGAATAGTATGTTATTCATTTTACACATGAATTTGATGTGTACACATAAGAACTATGTGTCCGACATATATAGTTATATATCATTTGTTTATCACATTGCAAAAATTCATGTGTGGGACACATAAAAATTCGCATTGAATCAAATCCATCCGTGCACTCGTCTATTGGGGGTGCCGTAGGCAGTGATGCCACAATTGTTGAATTTAACTCGCGTAACATTTGAAAAGGACCTATCCTCGTTGATCGATTCTTGGTGACTTTCTCTTTGATTAACCACGGCAACATAAATGAATTTCTCGCTAAGCCTCTCGCCTCTATTCGATGAAGCCGGTAATTTGCGTTCGATTGGTGAGGAAAGAATAATCAACGTTTTGTTTATAAAACTTGATAGTACCATTTCAATTGTTGGTCTACAATATATTTAATTTGTTCCGCTTTTTGATAGATTGAAATTCTATCCGCCAGACTATAAATATAGCGACTATAGTTAGCTTGCGCCTAAATCAACACACTGAATGGGAAATTCAATTGCACTCGGGTTATTCGCGAAAGAGAATATCGATTACGTAAAACTCATATCAGCTCCTCATAGATAAGCCACAATTATATCTTAAAATTATTGTCATGTTAGAAAATTAACGTGAGGACATTAATCAATTGATTAATGAATAATAATTGCTGTTCAATTGGGCAGAGCAGAAACTGAGACCAGTAGAAATAAAAATATCCTCTAAGGCCTCGTATATCTATGGATAATATCAAAAACGAGATAATACTGGGTAACAAAGGTTCTATTCACCTGCCCGGTGGATCAATTTAGGTTTTTTACAAAAAAATCGCAGCTTGCTCTATGACCGGCACAATTGGCACACTTGCGGAACACTGAGAAAAATGTTGACCCAAGATTGGTGTGCGGAGTGACCTACCCCTTGATATTTTATCACTTCCACAAAATTGTAATGGACTATTGGTTTATGCACAGAAGTTCACAATTATGTCACTATACGGCGCTAGTGGGCAAGTGAATTTACTGAACATGCTATATCTTGGGATCCTGGCCATGTAGAAGGCTACAGTCTTCGGCAAAGTTGTTCAGTGGGTCAAGTACGTTAGATTGACGAAGAGAAGTTCAGTATTTTTCCAGTACGTAGCGCTAGTGTGCAAAAATTTTTCCTGAATATGCTAGATCTTGGGATCCAGGCCATGTAGAAGATTTATGTCTTGAGCAAATTTGTTCGGCAGGCTCAGAATTGTCTCAATACGCGGCGCTAGTGAGCACTGTATATTGGAATCTCGAGGGGACACGTCGAGTCGTCAAGTCGACGATGACAGGAGCACATATCGTGGAGGTAGGGGTAAACAATAGCTGCAATTTCCAAACCTATGACTGGATGCCTTCCTTCGAATAACAACTGAAGTGCGGTAAAAATCGGTAAAACTGTTTCAAACATATCGTTGGTACTTGAGCGGTCGACAATCATCTCTTTTTGCCAGTGGTGGCGGGGGGGAGGTGACACACCCCTCACCATCCCTCTCCAAAGGGGGAGTTTGGTTAAGAGAGATGATCAAACCGATTTGTACCTTCCTTAAAAGTTGTCCTAGCTCGCTATCTACATTCTATATGCAATTTTCACACTGCCGTAATCTAAACGGAACTATCAATTCTATACTTTCATCTCCTCCTCATCTATCGTATAAAAATTACCACTTCAGTCTGTTATTCGAAATAGCATCTTCAACTATGCTTCGAATCCAATTAGTATAAAAAGGAAATTATTAATTTATTTCAAACCATTGATAAACCATAAACAATCGATTTAGTTACACAATGTTACTAATTTTTAGTGTAAAATAATCCTTATTTAAAATATATGAATTTATTTCAAACCATTCCCTAAACAGTCAATATTAATGTTTAAACACATAACAACCGTCTCTGATGAATGATATAATCAATTAGAGAGTGGTTTCGAGATTAACACAAAGCGGATATGTTGATTCGATCATGTCCAGCCTTAATAATAAGCCTTAAGCAGTAGAGCATCGAGGGTTCCAAATCCGAGGAAATGTGATTCACTTCTACAATGAACTCATTTGGCGGCAATCTAGAATATGTGGTTTTCCGAATGTTCTTATTCAGCTTCTTATTCAGTCGTAAGCTATCGTCCAACGGTCAAGATCCTTATGGACGAAAAATCCATCTTTATGGAGAGATGGTTTTGGGATTGAAAAATTTGTTTAGAGGATTTGCTTCCACAGTAAGTTTCCAAATAGTTCTTTGAATGACAGGTGAATCGGTTTGGCATTTCCTTGAATCAAAATCGTCTCCTCCTCGATTCCTACAAAAAAGAAATAAATTAAAAAATAATAATTGATTTTTCTAAATACGCACGCACAAAATCCCAGACAACACCGCGTACATAATCGAATGAAATCTGTCTAGAAACGGTGGTGACAAACTTGCGCTAAATATTTCTTAAGTATTTTTAAGTAATTTCAGGTATCTTAGATATCAATAAGAAATTTCTGAGTATAATGCAAGAAATACAAAATTTTGAATGGGATGCCCCTAGGCTGCTACTGTTCTCTTAATCATTGTAGGTTTTTGTTTTGCATTTGCCGTATCAAAGTGATAATCAGCTTTAATGTTCACGTTTACTATTTAAGTACCATTTTTTATGTAATTACGATAAGTTTGGATTTGAGCTCCGATCAGAACTGCTGTCTGACGGAGGTAAATTTATTGTAAAAATTGAAGTTCAACCGCAACCGGAAAGGGAATCGATCCCCAGTGGAGCACATTTCGCCCGTTGGCCGTCGTAAAACCTAATTAGTAAGGCCTAACATCATCAAGAAGAAAAAAAAAATGATAACCTGATAAAAGATATATGCTATATATTCACACAAGTTGTTCCACCCCTAGTGCTAGTCTTAAGTTACCCATCGGCAACCACATAGAATTTCTTTCAATGAACATTTAAAATTTCATTAATCCTGGAAAATTTAGACAGTATCTTTAATAACAAATATCCATCATCTCTAATTGTATTGAATGATTAATGGTACTCGTCAATCTCCGCACACTCTTTAAAAAAAAAATGTTAAGTTTAACGTAGAGAAAATAAAGTACGGCATTCTACATGGCAATCGATCACGTTTTACCTTTCCCCGTGATCAAGACAGTGGGGCAGTGAACCCAGTAGCGTGGCCAAAACTAATGACTTACGGTCTGTGACAAAGTTGATCACCCATTTTGCCAGCAAGCCAATAGCCCTATATTAACTTTATATTACAAAAAGGGCCCTTATCGTGCTATTAGAGAGCTTCATGGTTACTTGGGTAGTTAACAAAGGGCCAGTTTTTGACAGTTTCTGATCAGGTCGTATTCCTACCGCATAGGTGGCGCTCGTTTATATATTTTAAACAGAGCTAGGATGCTTTCATCGGCATTCGGCAGACATCAAAGATCTGTAACTTGTGAGTACCCCCATATCTGTATGATGCAAATCCAAGGCACTGGAGGTTTTGGCCACGCTACCGGGTCTGCTTCCCCAGCGTACATGATGGAAAGCCATCTGTTTTTTTATTGTGTGCCAAATGATCATCACCGGTTATTGACCAAGAACAAATAAATCATTTCATATTTCATGCAAATTCACAGTCAAAATATTTCCTTTGGTGGTTCATCGCAGCAACCGGCCATTCCCAATGAGACCTTGGTCAGCGTGCCGGAGATGAAATATGACAACACCTATTCAGCAAACGCAGGCGGCCGCAAATTAACGCTTCATTGCTTCACCGACAAGTAATTCACCTCACGCTCGTGTTCTCTCCAGCAATGTCAGATCTACGAGAATGTTCGATATTTTTGCGGAAATGTGGCTCCGCAGACAAACTTTAATACGGTCTTAAGCCAAAGTTCCACCCCGCGCTCAACACTTTCAAAAGTTATTGCAACTACGGAGAAATCTGGCATCACTGGTTCTCTCACTCGCGCTCACTCACTTTCCCGCTCCCAGATAAATACGAATTGCGGTGGTTTGCCGGTGCCTTCTTGGATGGATTTTTTTTCGCAACCGGCGCCCGGCACCTGCTGAGTGCTGCTCGAGAGCCATTCTCCGCTTTTCGCTTTCAATGTCAGGCTGCAGCCGCGATCTTTTAGCACTTTTAAAAGCAAACATTTTGAAAGAAATTTCGTAATAGTTTCGCAGAGTCTGATCGGTGGTATTCTTCTTCTTCTTCTTATTTGTTTTCAGTGTTGGACGCGTCCGGAATCCAGGAGGCGGGTTTCATGTGGGGCCAGAATCACTGGCTAGGGTCGGAGCGGGGCTGCGAATCGGCACATGCACCTCTGTCGATAACGCTATCCGATCGGTACCGGAGGAACATGAAGCCGAATCTGGTGAAGGCGTTGGCGCCGTTTGACGTCGGCTTCCGGATGGTGTACGCTCAGCATCAGTCCTCTTGGCAGGTGGAGATGAAATTTCTGGTCGAGGTAAGTTGAATGTCATTCCACCCAGATCAGCAACATGATGAATAACTTTGGGGATACTCAAACAGTTTATGGGTTGGTTTGGGGAGTGTGTTTTCTTTTTCTTTTGACGACTATATGTTGGTTGATTTCGTAACCAGAACATTCTGCACATTGGAGTTTGCGTTCCACTGTCGTGCTCGAATGGCGAGTTGTTCAATCTGACCGAACGGTACTTTGGAGAGCGAATCATGCAAGCACAGGACATCTTCGAGTTCAGACCAAACGTGCTGCACGTCAAAGATATGCAGTTGACGGAGAATTTCTGGACCAAAGGGAGCGTATTCGTTATCAGGTAAGGTTGTCACTTTGACCCATTTCCTCCGCCGTCTAAGTACTGAACTCGATTTCTCATAATTACACCCATTTCTTCCTCGTTTCTTGCAATCAACCAGCATCACCATCACACTAACCGCCATTATGGTGTATTTGGCACAGTGTCGTGAGCAAAAAATTAACGAAGAAAAAGCTTGCAGCGTACCCGCTGAGGAAACCAACAGCACGACCTACACTCCGGTAATGATAAACGGAGGGGCATGCAACGGACACTACTCTCCTGCATCTGTAGCGTCTTCATCTTCGTCAGCAGCAGCAGCCACAGCTACCATTGCCGCCAATGACGACGAACGGATGAAGGAAACTGCACCCATGCCAAAAACAAAACCAACTCCGATCCAATCCTCCTCCTTCTCTTCCTCCTCCTCGGCTGACACCTTTGTCGACAGGGTCATCGATAGTTTCAACCTGCGCCGGAACCTCGCCACCGTGTTCCAAACCGACATTGGCCCACAATCGCTGCCCGTGATCTGTGGAATCAAGTAAATAGCAAGCTTTGATTCACCGTTTCGCCGTCTCTCGCTCTTCTTCATCTCTCTCTCTCTCTCTCAGAGCGAATAACCTTGAACCATAAACACAAGCACCGGGCACATAAGATACCTCGTGCACACTCATACCACACCTCATCGCCATTAACCATTCAGCGAAAGCAGCTTTATTGTGTATTTCTTTGCTGTATTTTTTTATTTTGATCAAGAAAAGAAATGTAAATGGGACACAAATGGGTCGAAGTTGTTGCAGTCAAATTTTTTAGTCATTCTGGATTTTCCACAAAAGCTCCTGCAATCAGATTCGACGAAAATTCTTACTACTTCGATTACTTTTTCAATATTAATTTACATCCTTGTTGTTGATTATTTAATCACGCATCACGGCGAACATTTCACAAGAAATAACCGAATGGATAAAATCGATGTTCGATTTAAATACCGAATATCATTAGGTGTAGACGATCCGTAGACTGACCGCCATTAAATTGAATGGTTTATTACAAGTGTTGGGAAATCCAACGGGCATTGTTATCACGATGGTCTACTATCACGTGTTTTGATCAGAAGATTATGCCGTTTCTTATAATTATAGCAAATCATTTTCGCGGCTTTAGGGTTTGCATACTCAAATAGGGGACGACGGGGTAAGACGGCCATCAAAAGCTTAAAGTATAATTTAACCAAAACTTTATAAAATATCGGTAATAAATTATGTGAATATTGATCTTTAGAGTCTATCGGTAATTACATTGATTTTCTTTTCATTTGATGATGTTTTATAACGAACCAAAACAAGTCTTAATAATATAAGAAAAAAAAATAAGGGTTGTGTTCCAAGCACAACCGCATTATTGTAGTAGAACTACGATTTATTTGTATAGCCTAGTAATTTAATTATTAATTAAAAAAATTATTCTAAAATAAACAAATATTCGATTCATATGCCTCTATACCCGTTTTCGTACGAACCGGATTCGTTTCGCAATTTCGTATTCCCGTTTTCGTTCGAACCAATGCTAATTTTCGAACATCGTTAGTTCGAACGATTTCATGCTAAAGGGTGATACGGTCAAAATTTGGTCAATATCAACTTGACGTATTTCTTTCAATTTTGCATTTAAAAAACCTGAACACCCCTCATTTTGAAGGTGTGTGTGTGTAGAATGTTGCTCCTATTTTGATTTTGGAATTCACTCTTCAGTTGTCAAAATGCCGTCCAAGCAAGAAGAGCAGCGTATCAAAATTTTGCTCGCGCATCGCGAAAATCCGAGCTACTCGCACGCAAAGTTGGCAAAATCGCTAAAAGTTGCCAAATCAACCGTTACAAATGTAAATAAAGTGTTTGGGGAACGTTTGTCGACAGCCAGGAAGTCTGGATCGGGGGGAAATCGAAAACCGGAAGCCGCTGAGACGACAAAGAGAGTTGCCGGTAGTTTCAAGCGAAACCCTAACCTCTCTCTCCGAGATGCCGCAAATAAGCTGGGTGTATCGTCTACAACCGTGCATCGAGCCAAAAAACGAGCCGGACTATCGACTTACAAGAAGGTAGTGACTCCAAATCGCGATGATAAACAAAATACGACGGCCAAAGCGCGATCCCGGAGGCTGTACACGACGATGCTGACGAAGTTTGACTGCGTGGTAATGGACGACGAAACCTACGTCAAAGCCGACTACAAGTAGCTTCCGGGACAGAAGTTTTATACGGCAAAAGGAAGGGGAAAGGTAGCAGATGTTTTCAAGCACATGAAACTGTCAAAGTTCGCAAAGAAATATCTGGTTTGGCAAGCCATCTGTACCTGTGGCTTGAAAAGCAGCATTTTCATAGCTTCCGGGACTGTCAACCAAGAAATTTACGTGAAAGAGTGTTTGAATAAACGTCTGCTGCCTTTCCTGAAGAAACACGGTTGTTCCGTACTGTTTTGGCCGGATTTGGCATCTTGCCATTACGGTAAAAAGGCCATGGAGTGGTACGCCACCAACAACGTACAGGTGGTTCCCAAGGACAAGAACCCTCCCAACACGCCAGAGCTCCGCCTGGGCTATTGTCAAGCGGAACCTAAAGAAGACCAAAAAAACTGCTAAGGGCGAGCAGCAGTTCAAGGCAAACTGGCTTTCTGCGGCGAAGAAGGTGGACAAGGTGGCTGTACAAAATCTGATGGCAGGGGTCAAGCGTAAGGCCCGGCAATTCGGATTTGGAAAAGCGGAAGCCTAACTGAATATTTTTCCTGAATTTTATACTAATTGAACTTGAAAAAGAAATTTAATTTGATTTTTTAAATAAACGATTTCACCGATTTACACGCGTTTTCCCTTGACCAAATTTTGACCGTATCACCCTTTATTCCCATTTTCGTACGAATGCGAATCGCGAGACAGCCAGTGGATAAAAACTTTGAATTTTTTTTGTAATGGTCTTATTGTACAAACAAATATGGGTCATTCCGCGCCAAGCGTACACAACACATGAAATTGACGTCTTCCGATTTGGACCAAATTTGTAGAGAATGTTCATTTAAGTTCAAATTATAAAATTCCAAAGTTTTATGCTAATCGGAGCACCCCTCAAGGTCAAGGGGCGGATTTTCGATTTATCGTGATTCTTTAGAAAGCACTACTTTCTTTTGTTCATATCTCCGGAACAAATGAAGTTACAAATTGCATTAGGTATTGTTTAAATGAGGAAATTAGACAAGAAATCTGAATTTGTAACCTTTATTTCTGTACAGTGATGCCAAATATTTTTTAAAGCAGATTTCTTATGATACGTGTCGTTTAGTTTTCATTTTAAGGACACCATCATGTTCTTCATCCTTCTCTACACAAAAAACAATCAACGACGAAAAGTAATTTGCGTAGTTCCTGGGATATTGCATTTTGAATGAACGAAAGTCATATATTATGAGGGTAAAACTTTTTTTTATTTTTTTTCCATGTTTTCTTAATAAGTGGATTCATTCTCATGACTTATCGTGTGAAATAATATTTAAAGAAAAAAAAAATCGAGTACTTTACCAAGAACAGTTTTTAATACAGTGTCCCACAGCATCTTTACATAAGATAGACTATCTAAAACAAAGTTTAACGCGATGTAACATTTTGGAAAAAAAAAATAAAGGAAGGTGTTTCTTTATTTTCCTGACGCATAAAATAACTATTTATGGTCAGCCATAAAACAAGACAAAAATGTGAAATATAGGACAAAACTGTAATTTGCTCATGTTTTGCATACGATCCTGAATTTTGAGATCAAATAGATGTCTTTAAAGATGTCATCAATAAACGTATAAAACATGACATTTTTGATTTTTTTTTCATATATTAGGCGTCTATGTTTTAAGCATCTCTGGCGTATCTGTCTAGTTCATTAGAAGTTGGCAAATACCGAGTGGAAAATGGTGTGTTCTATTCAGGGGGCAATTCACTTTGCAACCTTGTGTTAAACACATCAAAAACACTCTTCGACATACTCAAACACCCTTCAACCACCATGAGAACCAATTTTTCAATCTTTTCTGGAAGCACTGGCTAGAGCCAAAAACGTTTACATTCGTTTGATGCCCTTTTTTGATTTGTTGATTTTTTTTCTAAAGGATAGACCTCCATAAATTGGTAGGATTCCACAAAAAAAACTGATCGGGACACCGGAGTAGCCCTCACCCCCACAATTGGAAAGAAGATTCAACATCAAGCTCAACATTGAAAAAACAGACAATTTCAACCTCTAACAAGCTAGAATATCTGTAACTGTATATGAATGAAGCGGATAATAATTATCATATCAATTATTGATCGATAGCTAAAGACAGATTTTTCTTTCTAATGTGTGTGATGCCCTTTCGTCGTGGATTTCATATACACAATACCAAATCAGAGAGATCCATCCTACTAGCTGCCGCTTACAAATAGGTTCGTTTTTTTTGCGAAATTTAGATCCAGAGATTGCTTAGAAAGGGGCGTGCTCGGTTTGGTTATCTGGGCTTGATTGCGACTGGAATTCGGTTGGGATGGATTCGAGAGGACTTTAGGATGTCAAGCATCATGACATGAGAATACGATGGCTGAGGGAGTACTTTTTGAGATCGGAGTGGAACTCCAGACATACATACACAGCACGTTCTTTTAGATAGGTGTAGCGGATGACGATCAGGGATGCGAATTTGAATTCCTGTAAGTTGCTTACGTATACGTGTGCTTTATTTCTGGAATTCCGTGCTTTCACTGTGCATGATTAAATTGGTAAATTTTAGGGGAGCAAAAAAAAAAAGAATTCTGATTATAAACAAAAGTGGATGTAATGCTAGCCAGTAAGCATTAATTTTCAATAAACTTTTTGACAGCTAGATCGACATGCAAAAACGCCCATAAACACCTTCCGACACCCTAAAACACACAAGAAACATAATTACCCCCCGTAACTTGGGTAGATCACCTTTTCGTGGTACGTTAAGGGATGTAAGATCTACCACCGATTCCTTGTCCTGACTACTTCAAACTAAGGGAACAGGATTTTTCAGTAATCAAAGGAACACATCTTAGTCCTTGCTACTTTTTATGCCTTGCTGATAGTGACAAGACTTGGCTTTGTCCACCGAGGATGATCTTGAAACAAGGAACAAATGAATTAGTTAGTCTTCATCTATGTGATTCCTAATCTTCTATTCGTTGTTCCCTAGTTTGAAGTGATTAAGACTAGGGTTCCGATGCATGGTCATTATCGATGTTATTCCTTAATTTTGTTGCTAACGAATCCAATTTTGACTGACAAAGGGGCGTTACTGGTCGCAGTGGTGTTAGGTCGCGAACAGTGGAACACAATTACAAGCTTCGTTCTGGTGTTATGGAACTGAAAAGTGTTTGTGATGGTCATGCTAAGCAATATGGGGATCTTTATGCGACAATGTAACGACAGTGCTGCAACCCATTCCATCTGCATACAGTTATTCGTCGCAAGAGTTTGAAACCAATTTCTGCACGCTTTCATGATGAGT